CCAACCTTCCTTCCGAGGAGTGGCTGGTGGGTTTGAACCTCCAGCCTTCTGGTTAGCAGTCAAGTGCCTTAGCCACTATGCTACCAGAGCTCCCTATCAGACAATATTCTGCTGCTATGTATAAGATTTTCATTGGCTAATTTTTTTTTTTTTTAGAAATTGTTTTTGTTCTCTAGTGCCGCTATAAGGAAAATATCACAAATGGATGGCTTTAACAAACAAGGATTTATTCTCTTAAACTTTAGGAAGCTAGAAGTCTGAGTTCAAAGTGCCAGCTCTAGGGGCTTGGTGAAAGCCCTTCAACACAGGGCTTTAGCTCTGCCTCTTACTCCTGGCCCACTGAAGCTGGAGACATCTCTTAGCTCAGGCAGCTGCTGGCTGCTGAGGCTGACAAACCCAAGGTCAACAAGTAAAATGGCACAATCCCCAGATTATCAAACATTACAATGGGCCACTAATTCAAGTCCATTAACAGTCCCAAGATTGGCAGACAACATAGCAGGCCACTGAGAGGAAGACTCAGCTACATGCAGGGTCCAAGCATGCCAAAAAGCTAGAGACCTTTCTCAAAGCTTCTTATGTACTGGAAGCAGACCACATCCTTAAGGCAGCTACTTAGCTGCTCATAGTAGATTCCATCATGGAGTTGATTATCAATCTCATCATGGGGAATAACTACATCCAATTACTCAGCCACTCAAAGCCAGGTCCAGGCAAGTTGACACATAACCTTAACTACCACAGAAGTAGATCTTTAGGTACTCCTTCCTAATCTCTCTGTTGGGAAGCTCCACTGAAACCTGTCTACCATGGATGGACCCTGCTTGTGTTTGAAATGCTGGTGTCGTAGCTTCCAGCATCCAGAAACATGTAAGCCACCACAAACACGCAGACAAGTGGTGGTTAAATCTCTTACTCCTGATTAACTAACCCATCTTCCTTTATTTTGTTATATTTTCCTCTTGCTTTGATAACAGGACAAGACCATATTCTAAAAATCACTTCCATTTTCCTTTTTGATTTCTGGAGAAAATATTTCAGAAGACATAGTGTTCCAGGCACATCTTTTATTTTGAAATTTCCTTTAAGTTTTAATTTTGTATCAAAGTCTAAGAAGATGGCATTATTATTTCATGACAAAGTATTCAATCTTCTTCTTTTATTTATTAATAAAATCTTCTTAGAATGAAGAGTCTATAGCTTAATTTGGAGACCAGTGATATCCTTATACTATTGGGACTTTCAGTTCTAGAACATGGTATTTTCCTTAATTTATATAGTTTTTCTTTCTCTACATAATTCTTTTCTTTTATTCCACTAAAATGTCATTAAAAACCAATTTTGATGGTGTATTTTATATAGAATACAATCCACCCATATTAGGGGGGGAAGAGTTTGTTGACTTTTGACAAATGTATATAGTCATATAACCAATCGATGTAGAGAGCATTTCCATCACTCCAGAAAGTTTTCTCATGCCCCTTTGCTTGTGCAGTGCAGTGTGCATCTTTAATTTATTAAATTTGTCTTTAAATTATATTATTCAACTTCAGATAGAATGATGGTGTCATACAATACTATACTTCCTTTTTCCCCTTCCTATCTATTGTGCTATAATGTACATTTATTAAAATCATTGAATTTATACTTACAATGAATATAAATTATACCTCAATAAAGCTGTTTTAAAAATAATAAATGATGGATTTATGGAAAAGCTTTGCCTTATGATATTTCAGAATAATCAATGTAAAGTTTAATAGAAATAGACAAAAAGATAATTGATTCAAAATAGAAATGTCAGATAGAGATCATAGCATTTAATGTAAGACATAATATTTCTATGTAGTGGGAAATAAAATGCTATTTAACAAATATTGTTGTCCAAGTGGCTATAAATCCATAAGATAATACATTTAAATATCTATCTTATACCATAAATATAATTTCAAATGATTAAATAATTAATATACAAGATAAACTAATACAAAATTAAGAGCCCATAAACACAATTCAGCAGTAAGTGAATTCATCAGAACAGGACATCTATCAAGGGAAAGACAGACATTTCTAAGTATATAAACACTTAAACTTTTGTATGGCAAAATAAAAAATAAAACTATTAGACAAATGACAGATCTGGTTAATTTTTGCAACACCAAGTTCAGACTGTTAATACCACTAATGAGCAAAATCTTACAAATGGTCAAGACAAAGACAAATACAAAAGAATAATAGGCAAGAGATAGGAACAAGCAAATTATACAAAAGCAAATCTAAATAGTTAACAAGCACATGAAACGATAGTAAAACTCAGTAATAGTATGGAAAATGCAGAATAAACTAAACCAAGACATCACTTTATACCCATCAGAATGGCAAAATGTTTTAAAAGATCTTTAACAACTACTTCTTGGGGGGGAATGGGGAAAACTGCACTTGTTCATTACTTAGGAATTGTGAAGTATTTCAACTTTCCATTCTGGAAAGCAAAATATATTCAAATTGAAAATATATATGCACTTTGATTTTGGAATCCAATTCTTGATAATCACTCCTAAAAGAATAAAAAGAATCCAAAATTAAGGATTTACATAAAGTGTTTTTATTGAAACATTACTCATTGTATCAGAAAACTGGAAGCAAAGGGAATGTCCATATTAGGGAAGGTTATACAGATATGGCATAACTTTATCAGGGAATATTAGGCTAAAATTCAAAAGAATAGACTTAGACTAATATACCTAGGATATTGTTCAGTGAGAGATGTAAATTTTTTTTAAAGTGTTTATTAAGAGGGTTAAAAAATAGTCACATATATGCAAAAGTGAATATATGTATCTGCATACATATTTATGAACATTTGTATGTGTTTAGATGAGCATATAGAATGCTATGATGACAGCTGGCATGATAGGCAAATAGGAAATTCACCTTAATTTCAAGTTACTTGATATCTTGTGGAAGTAGGGCTTAGTTTCCCCGTGGCCTTGCTTCTCTGCTCCATTATGTCAAAGAGTTTACATATTTTCTGAACATTCTTCTCATAGCTGCCTTTACCTCCTTGTTCTGAAGGCTGTAGATGAGGGGATTCAGCATAGGAGTGACCACACTGTACTGTAAAGGGAAGATCATTTCTACAGGGGAACCAGAGTTTGGCAAAAGATAGCTGAGGAAACCTGAACCATAGAACAAGATCACAGTGGTAAGGTGGGAGGAACAGGTAGAGAAGGCCTTGCTTCTGCCGGAGGTGGAGCTGATCTTCATGATGGTGGAGACAATACGGATGTAAGAAAAGAAGATCAAGAGGAAGGTTCCAAAGAAATGCAAGACAGAGGAGCAGAGCAGGAGCGTGAAGTTGATAGAAGTATCAGAACAAGACAGAGGGAAGAGAGAAGACAGTTCACAGCTGAAGTGGGGGATAGTTTGGCTCTCACAAAAGTCTAAGTTGACAGCCAGGAGGATATTGATAAGGGCATCAACAAAGGCCAGGCCCCAGGAGCTCCATACCAGCCCAACACACAGCTGGTTACTCACCACCTGGCCATACAGCAGAGGGGAGCTGATGGCCACATAGCGGTCATAGGCCATCACTGCCAGCAGACAGGCCTCAGTGCCCCCTGTGGCAAACACAAAGAAGGCCTGAGCCAGGCAGCTCTCTACAAAGATGGTTTTGCTTTCAGAAAGTAAATTCTCCAGCATCTTGGGTACTGTGACAGAGGAGTGGCATAGGTCCAGGAAGGACAGTTGGCCCAGAAAGAAGTACATGGGGGTGTGGAGGTGGGAATCAGCTCTGATCACTAGCAGCATCACCAAGTTTCCCATCAGGGTCAGGAGGTAAATCACCAGGAACAGCACAAAGAGAAGAGCCTGGATCTGGGGGTTGGAAGACAGCCCAAGAAGGATGAACTCACTGAACACACTGTGGTTTCCCATAGTGATTAAAAGAAGCTTTATCCTAGGAATCCAAGGAACAAAAACATCAAATTTCCTTTGTGCTTCCCAGTTCCTCCCAGTTCCTTAGCCCTCTTGCTCAGGTACGTTATTTCATGACTGTGCTGAAAATCATGTTCAAATATTTCTAAGCCAACTCCATAATCACCATGATAACTTTGATAATCTTGGATGACAGTCCACCACCTCTCTGTCAACCCCTTATGTAATTTTGTGGATCATCCTCTTATACCTTTAGGAGTTTCTATCTTTTATTTTTAAGATGCATATTAATTAAAAAACATTTTGCATTCTTAAAAGGAATATAGAGAGAATTATTGATGCATCAGAGAAATGAGCTAATAGAAGTGAAGTTCTTAAGAGATGGGAAATGAATGGGATCTAGAGCATAAGTGGAGTTTTGTCCTTAGATAAGAGTAAGAGCCCTTTATCTGTTGTAAGTAAAAGAGAAGGTAAAGAGAGTGGAGACAGAAGCAGCCACACAAATTTTAAGGCTGGAAAATGTGAGATTTTCCAAGTGATTGTTGCAAAGTATTTGATGAAGTGCAAAGTGAGATCATGAACAGAGTCTCTTTCTCTTCCTTTCGTCATATATAGTTCTCTCTCTCTCTCTCTCTCTCTAAAATCCCTGTGTGGATCAAGTGTGCGTGATCTGCTGCTAACTGAAAGTTTGACTGAACCCACCCAATGCCTTCGCAGAAGAAAGGTTCAGCAATCTGCTTCTGTAAAGATTGCAGACTAAAATAAACCTTTAGAACAGTTCTATTCTGCACACATGGGGTCACAATGAGTTGGAATCAATTCGGTGGCAACTAACAACAACATCTCTCTGTGTATTGGTGTGTTCTTTCAGTGAGATCATCATGAGAGATTTTGACAACTCAAGGAGACAAAAGTCAATACAGCAAGTGGAAGATTAATTTCCAAAGGAAATGCAGTAGGATTAACTGTTTGCTCATTTGAGATTTTGGTAAGCAAGTCATACGTTTAGGAGATACTGATTTGAAATTCAGATATGTAGATGTGTTATAAGTATTGAAGATGACAAAGTGATAGGTATTGTTGAGGGAGTAGGAGGCTAAGATGAGGTGGAAGATTCAGTCATTGGTCCAGTGGAAGATAAAAGATCTAGAATTTTGAGATAGGGTGGTATTTTCTCATTTTTGTTTAACAAAAATATGAATTTTAATTCAATTTCCCTAAATGAATATTTATTAGTTTAAAAATTTAAATGAAATGAAATGAAACAAAATATTATCCAAAATAATCAGTTGAGTAATAACCTGTATAAGAAACACCTACCTGCATTTGGCCATAGATGTTCCACGATAATATCTGCAACAGGATAATATGTGGACACGTACCCCATGCCCAGCTTAAACCACTTCTAACAGTTTTATAATCAGAATATGCTCTTGTCAATGTCTCAGCTGGTTTGTAAATTCACATGAAAACTTGAGTTATATTCTCTAAACCTTGCCCGTGTTTTCCTACTATGTTCTGAAATCCATGATTTGTAGTCTCAGCCCTAGACTAATGTAGCTATTCATAATTTGTCCAAGTCTAATCCATCTTTGCCTTTCCTAACTCAAGACAAGTGTGTTGTTCAGTTGATAAAAGGCAATTAGAGTTTCTCTTCTTTTGACTGTCAGCCAAGGAGTGAGGTGACTAAGTCCAGTTACCTGTCTGAATAACCAGTAGCCAGGTTGTGGCTACTGTCACATCCAGTGACAAATTATTCATATCCAGGGAAAATTACTCAGCTTGTATAATTAATGTTGAGAATCCTGTATTTGAGCAGAATTGGGAAGAAATTTATTAAAAATTAATGTTGTAAAATCTATGCTAGCAATAAAAAATAATGAATTTTGTATATTATTTTTTCAATGTCTGCATACTTCCAATTATTTAAGGAATAGTTTATGAAAATAATAGCTAAAGATTTCCCATTTCACTCTTTGATTTAAATTTGACCACAGTGTCCAGTTGGGCTCCTGGCACTCTGAGCATCACATTACCTTCAGAGGATATGGACAAAGCAGTATGTGTGGAATTAAATCGTGAAATCCTTTATGTCAGGCAGAAAATCCATATTTCTCAGGGTGTGGAAGGGGCTGTGGTACCTTTGGCACATGATTTCAGAGCAGTACAAAGAAAAGCCTCTTTGCTACCTCCTGCCTCCAAATATATTCTTACTTATTAACCCCCAAAATTTATATGACTTACGGGAAGAATTACACCCTTACAACAAAGTGAAAGATAAGCTTGCATAATACATAATACATAAATAAATAATACATAATACATAAAATACAATGTTTAGGAAAAGTTGCTGCCAGTACTTGACTTCTGTAGGAGTGGAAAATTGGATTTCTTTTTAGGGTATTTGTAGAGTAGCAGAAGGATTCCTGCTATGTAAATGAGTAAAATAAGTAAAACCATACCTTTTTACCATGTTGGTGCCTAAACTATTACCACGAGTGATTTCTTTCTTCTGCTGATTTTGAACATAAAATGTCAAAACTTTTGGGAAGTCTAATACAAAAAGTTTGTTGCCAGATACTTATGTCATTGGGACCTCTGGTGGTGCAGTGCCTAAGGCATTTGACTGCTAACTAGAAAGTTGATGGTTCAAACTCACCAGCCAGTCCTTGGACAGTGGCTTCCATAGAGATACTGCCTCGGAAACCCAAGGAGGGGTCACTATGAATTGGGTGTTTTTTACATCATTAAGTGGAGAGGGTTAATTGGATCCTGTCCAAAGGAAAAATAGCTAAGGACCTTTCATGGCAGAATGAGATATGTCTTTGTTTTGTAATGTTGATCAGAAAATATTATCAGAGAACATGAATAAGTTTATGAATGACTGGGAATCAGAAGGGAAAAGTGGTCCAGAGTTTAAATGATTTGGGGAGATAAGCCTGATCACAAAGGAGTTTAAAGTCCTAGTTTTATTAAGAGGCACCTGTTATGAAGGAAAAAAAAGTTACTATTATAAGTATAGAGATATGGAGGTACTAGAAATGAGTATCACCTATTTTATAAATTTTCCAAGATTATACTTTGATCCGCCTTCATATGCCTCAAAGCTAAGCTATCTGATGATGATTTTTACTGCCCATAAAGCAACTCTCTGAAACTCATAAGGTGTAGTTGATGAGGAGAGGTAATAAGGCATGGAGAGTGGGAAATGTGCCCCCAATGTCCTCAACCTACCATATTTCCATCTGTGCTGCTATCAGATGATGGACTCAGCTTCTCCAAGATAAAATACAGACCTTATGCTTGAGGCCCAAGAAGTGCAGCAGAATGCAGCCAACATATTATAATTTAGAGACACACATACATGTGGTAAATCCACATTATGTCATTTCCAGGCTGTAAAATCACTTGATCTTTTAAATAAAATTTCCTTTCCTGTAATTGAGTAGAATTGGGGGAAATAATATACACCTTACAAGTTTTGAAACACTAGATTATATAATTTATATGCAGAGCTGGAAACAAGATTTCTGATCTATTATAATTGCTAAGGATTCCTAAGGAGAAGAAGAGTTTTGGAGGAGCAAAACAGAGCATGTTAGGAAAAAGATAACTTGAGGCTGTTTTTCGGAAGATCTGGGGATCAATGCCTGGGGAGTAAATGAGAGACTTCAAAAGGAAACTAAAGTTTTAGAAAGCCAAGGAGAGAGAAAGGGAATAAAGGGAAGAAGGAAGCACTTCAAGGAGCATGTTAGGACAAGTGGGGAGGACATTATCATGCTCTTGGCTTCATGGTGAAACTAATATCCTGGAGCTTTAAGTTGATGGGTGAATACATCAGGAATCAGGTGATTTTCATTAGAAAAGGATGCAACACAACTTTTCAACTTTTGAGGTAGACATAGTTTTCTCTCTGGGAGCCTAGGTGAGAGGGGGGAAGAATACATTAGCCCAGGCTCTAAAAAGCATGTTACCTGCAGATTAAGTCTTCAGAATCTTATTTGTGCTCTTACCTCATCATGGTTTTGGAGTAAGCTAGGAGAAATGCCTTGAAATTTCAAGTTCTTGATAGGTCATTTTTAGCAATATCTCTCATTCTGTCTCAAGCTAGATCTGAGTCTCTAAGTGAACATACAATCATTGGTTCTCACAATTTTCTCTATGACACTAAATATTTTTATTACAGCATTATCTGAACAAAGGATTCTAATGTCTAGCCAATCAAAGGACAGTTGGCTTAGGCTGAATTTAGGAGTCCAGGGGACTGGCTAAATACTTTGTATTCCCTGGAGTTACAGCCTGAAGCAGAATTTTAGACTTATTTGCTAAGAAGCATGAACTTTTAAAGAGCCACAGGAGATTTTCTGCGTGTGACCTTTGCAACTCGTGAATTGAAGCAATCAATGTACACTCCTAGATGAGTTTGCTTGTTAGTCTTCTGGGAACAGGAGAGAAGCAGCATAGGGAAAGGGAATTTGGTACCTGTGAAGAAAGCCAGAATTTTCTCTTGGGAACATATAGGCCGTATGAACCTTCAGAAAATTCATTTGGGATGTGAAAATGTATTCACAGTTAACTTCTTGATCATCTTCTCATGTGTGTATGAGATGAGTTTCTAAATGTAAATGGGTTCAATATTAGGATAATCAAATGAAGAGAAAATTAAAACTCCATTAGTATTTTATTATACAATAAATCAGTGTTATTGTTATTGTTAGGTGCCATTGAGTTAGTTCTGATTCATAGTGATCTTATGTACAATAGAACAAAACACTGCCTGGTCTTTGACATCCATACAATTGTGGCTCTGCTTGAGCCCATTGTCGAAGCCACTGTGTTAATTCATTTCATTGAGGGTCTTCCTCTTTCTTTTTTTTTTTTTCAGATCTTTACTTTACCAAACATGATGTCCTTCTCCAAGTACTGGTCACTCCCAATAACATGTCCAAAGTACTGAGACGAAGTCTGGCCATTCTCACTTCTAAGGAGCATTCTGGCTG